GATGTCTCGACCGGCGATGTCCAAGCCTCTGGTGAGATGATGAAGATTGCAATCCTCGTAAATCGGGCAAATGCGGGTGGTACCGACACCGGAATCGACTACAACGCCCGACAAAAGTCCCTGCAGGAATGTTCGAATTAAGGAAAATTTTTAAATGGGGAAACATAGGTTCAGTAATTCCAGTAAGATTCAAATGTGGCTTCATGAATTGATTTTAATCTTTCTTGTACCTAATGTAGAGAGTCCGAGCAATGAAATGTCCTGTTTTTAATCTGTCCTGCTTCATTATATATCTAAGAAAATTGCAATCAAAAACTGAAATTTATTTGCAATGCTATTTAAATGGCAAAACGTAATTCTAGTAAGACTAGAGTTTCCTCGAAGGGATTAGTGAATAATTTTAGTAGGATGTAGATTAGTTATTACAGAACGATGTCTCCTAGTTTATATTGATCCACAGGCTGTAGTAAATTGAAAAAAACAAATTAAAGTATTTTAGCAAATGATGATAGATTACTGCAAATTTTTTAGTAAATTGACTAGCGACAACGCCAGTAGTTTCCGTTTTTCAGAGATTTTTGGAAAATTTGCACTTTTTTAAGGGCAGGTAATATTAAATAAGGTATTTTCAGTGCACCGGAATATTTTTAGAGCACTTTAATGACTATTTTAAAAAACCCTACTTTTATCTATTCAAATTGCAAGGAAAAGAATTGAATCTACTAGCGAGTTATCTAATCTCTAATCTCTATTGTAGAAAAATGGATATCTCAAAAAATATTAAGAATATTGTTTCCAAATTTTTACAATATATACAAAAAAACTGAAAAATGTCTACCTTCAAACGCTTACAATTTCGTTATTTTTGCATAGATCTTCAAAAAAATCCTTTATGGCCGAAAGGAAAGTTCACTCTATCAGATGCAATTCATATTGTGTCTCAAAATTAAGGAAAAATTCAGGATAACTTAATAAGGGGGTAGCGGCATTAGCTCAGACTTTAGAGAAGAGGGTGACTGAGGTAAGGGGAACGCGGAAGTCAAATTAGGTTGACAAAAAACACTACAAACAGTGACAAAAGTGTCAAAAGTTGTGACAAAAGTGTCACATTAGAACTGTTGGCTAAACTTTTTAATGAATTTGAATTCAAAAATGGTTCCTAGTTTGTGTTTTGAACATTTATAATTGCTTTTATATGTGCGTTGTGTGTTATTTGACTTTTATTTATAAACGAAGAGAAAGATATTGGTCTTTCATCGTTTATATGAACTATAGAATTTGAATTTTCGCGCCAGACTGACGATTGCGACTTTTCATACGTCACTAAAATGGAACCCTCTTCCACCTCGAAATACCGTTACCCCCTTATTAAATTATCCTGGGAAAAATTGATATATCCTTTTCG